TCATCCACTTCCTGTTTGTGTGCCACTTCCTGGTCCTGTTTCTGTGCCACTTCCTGTTCGTGTGCCCCTTCCTGTTTGTGTTCCTGTGCCACTTCCTGTTTGTGTGCCACTTCCTGTTTGTGTGCCACTTCCTGTTCCCCTCCTGGCCACACCCCCTGCTGGTGGAGAAGGGCGAGTACTGCCAGACACGGTGAGCAGCCTTCATCTTCATCATCATCATCATCCACTTCCTGTTTGTGTTCCTGTGCCACTTCCTGTTTGTGTGCCACTTCCTGTTCCTGTTTCTGTGCCCCTTCCTGTTTGTGTGCCACTTCCTGTTCCTCTCCTGGCCACACCCCCTGCGGGTGGAGAAGGGCGAGCACTGCCAGACACGGTGAGCGGCCTTCATCTTCATCATCATCATCATTTCCTGTTCCTGTTCGTGTGCCACTTCCTGTTTCTGTGCCACTTCCTGTTTGTGTTCCGCTTCCTGTTCCTCCCCTGGCCACGCCCCTTGCTGGTGGAGAAGGGCGAGTACTGCCAGACACGGTGAGCGGCCTTCATCATCTTCATCATCATTTCCTGTTCCTGTTTCTGTGCCACTTCCTGTTCCTGTTTGTGTGCCACTTCCTGTTTGTGTGCCACTTCCTGTTCCCCTCCTGACCACGCCCCCTGCTGGTGGAGAAGGGCGAGCACTGCCAGACACGGTGAGCGGCCTTCATCTTCATCATCATCTTCATCATCCACTTCCTGTTTGTGTGCCACTTCCTGTTCCTGTTTCTGTGCCACTTCCTGTTTCTGTGCCACTTCCTGTTTGTGTTCCACTTCCTGTTCCCCTTTCTGGCCACACCCCCTGCTGGTGGAGAAAGGCGAGTACTGCCAGACACGGTGAGCGGCCTTCATCATCTTCATCATCATCTTCGTCATCCACTTCCTGTTTGTGTGCCACTTCCTGTTCGTGTTCCACTTCCTGTTCCCCTTTCTGGCCACACCCCCTGCTGGTGGAGAAGGGCAGTACTGCCAGACACGGTGAGCGGCCTTCATCTTCATCATCATCTTCATCGTCCACTTCCTGTTTGTGTGCCACTTCCTGTTTATGTGCCACTTCCTGTTCCTGTTTCTGTGCCACTTCCTGTTCCCCTCCTGGCCACGCCCCCTGCTGGTGGAGAAGGGCGAGCACTGCCAGACACGGTGAGCGGCCTTCATCTTCATCATCATCATCATCATCTTCATCCACTTCCTGTTTGTGTGCCACTTCCTGTTTGTGTTCCTGTGCCACTTCCTGTTTGTGTGCCACTTCCTGTTTATGTGCCACTTCCTGTTCCTGTTTCTGTGCCACTTCCTGTTTCTGTGCCCCTTCCTGTTTGTGTGCCACTTCCTGTTCCCCTCCTGGCCACGCCCCCTGCTGGTGGAGAAGGGCGAGTACTGCCAGACACGGTGAGCGGCCTTCATCATCTTCGTCATCATCATCTTCATCATCCACTTCCTGTTTGTGTGCCACTTCCTGTTTGTGTGCCACTTCCTGTTCCTGTTTCTGTGCCACTTCCTGTTTGTGTGCCACTTCCTGTTTGTGTGCCCCTTCCTGTTTGTGTGCCACTTCCTGTTCCCCTCCTGGCCACACCCCGTGCTGGTGGAGAAGGGCGAGCACTGCCAGACACGGTGAGCGGCCTTCATCTTCATCATCATCATTTCCTGTTCCTGTTTCTGTGCCACTTCCTGTTCCTGTTTCTGTGCCCCTTCCTCTTTGTGTTCCACTTCCTGTTCCCCTTTCTGGCCACACCCCCTGCTGGTGGAGAAGGGCGAGTACTGCCAGACACGGTGAGCGGCCTTCATCATCTTCATCATCTTCATCATCATTTCCTGTTCCTGTGCCACTTCCTGTTCGTGTGCCACTTCCTGTTCCTGTTCCTGTGCCACTTCCTGTTCCTGTTTGTGTGCCACTTGCTGTTCTTATTCCACTTCCTGTTCCTCTCCTGGCCACGCCCCTTGCTGGTGGAGGAGGGCGGCTGTTCCCTGACACGTTGTGTGGCCTTCAGCCTCACCTTCATCATCATCATCACCTTCATCCTCTGCTTCCTCTTCCAGAATTCCCAATTTCCCCTG